TTTTTTTTTTTTTTCTTCTTCTTCTTCTTCATGGATTTTACAGCCCTTTTGAGTATTTATTAATGGCCTGGATTATGTAATTCTATGACTGCTTTATTTGTCATCTAATATTTTGGGTCTGGTAAAAACAATCACTTTACTCATATCATGTTCTCCAATTTCAATATATTTAACACTCAATGCGTGTATTATTATACTTTCCAAACGGCACACTTAGAGATGGTAGATGAAACGCTCCATGTGATAAAGTGACATGTTATACTGTAAATTGAAAAGAATTAGGAGAGAAAAACATGAGAATAAGATTTCTTACTCTATTTTTTAAGGGCCGGGCCTGAATTGGCCAAAACCGGCGAGTCGGTGACCCGGTGGTTCAAGGCCGGTTCAATGAACCGGCCCATGGAAATGGCCGGGTGGGTCACGGCCCCTTATTTGGCCACGCCTACTTGGTAGTGATCAAAAGCAATACACAATAAAATTTGCATCACTAAAAAATAATTACCAGTCTGAAATTTCAAAGATCAAATGTCAAAAAAGTACTACATGATATGCCCATTATTTTGAGGCTATAGAAAAATAAGACATAATTTTATAATTGTAAAAAATTCTCACTAATTAATAAAAATTAGAAACATTCTGCCCAACATTGCATTAAATTCTCATTAATTAATTATGGAAAATGTCTGCTATATCTACTATATATATAGCCCTAATTAAGAAGAAAATCTCATATATATGTACGTAGCCATTTTCTTTTTTAATTAATAGGGAGAAACGGTCTTGTTTGTCTAACTTGAATTGGTTTATCTACCACTCATAGCATCTAACTACGATTTTGCGACTTTTGTCCAACAAACTAAAAAATTAATAATTTTATTCCCAAAATGGAAAACTATAAAATCAATAATTTTACTATTTTTTTATTTTTTATTTTTTCAAAAATAATGGCATAGGCACATAAGGTGGAGAAAAAAATATTTCCAAATTTGAATATATTATTTGCATGCATGTATCAAATATATGTGATGTAGGGAAAGCGTGAACGAACGGGAAGATATAAGGAGATACTCTCTCCAGAAAACGGGATACTCTCCCAAAAGAAAAACACGATCAATTATTTTTATTCATAAAAAATTCAACTGCTTAACACAAAAGATGAGAGTCCTTTAAATAAGGATCTAACCCTAAACTTAGTTTATTCCCCAAGCTAATTATTAGTTAATAATAATAA